GGGGGAGGATTAAGAGAGTATTAATGAGCGACTGGAACAAATTAGCGATGGAGTAGCAGAGACGAGAGGAAGGAGCGAGAGGCTGAAGAGTCCTGTGTGCTCATGGCGGCACATAGGCAATTCCCTCTCACGGCGCGGGTTCCGTGGGATGCACGCTTTGGCAACTCACTGCAGTAACTCACCAGATTGAAGCACGCCGCCACAAAAGCCATTTGGTGCCAAAGAAGTTGTTTGTCTGGTCTCAGGCTTTCACCCCCCCCTATATTTTTTGTATTAACAGGTCAGCGGGAGAGAGTGGTTGGAGAGGGTCTAGTGACAAAATGAGGCTTTCCGTGCAGCCCGCTGGCAACGGTCAACCCCGGCCGCTGCATCCCAGCAAGACGGAGGCTCCTGCTTCCTCCCAAGTTACGCCAGCAAAGCTGGAGGAAGAAGGATGAGCAAGGTGGCAACGGTGGGTCACGGTGGGAGAAGAAAGTAAGTGGGAAATAGCGGGAGAAAACGAGCAAGGAAGGAGCGAACGGAAGGGTGGGAGGAAATGAAGGAGGCGAAAATGACCACGGGTGAGAAGAAGAAAAAGGAAACAAAGTAGAAGAACAACATGCGGTGAATTTGGGTGATAAAAGGAGGGGAAAGACTGTAGGGAGAGAATCTGAGAAGGGCACGTTAATGAAGCGTGAACCAAAAGGACATATTTTGCCCTCATTCCTCCCAAATAATGCTTACGTATCTTGTACCCTGGAGTTCAGGTGGAGGCTAGCCATGTGACTGATCGCATTCAGTGTGAATACGGGTAGCGGAAAATGGTACAAAGAAAGAAAGGCAGGGAAAAAATCAGGACAGAGAACAAAGAAGGACTTGGGCTGTGGGTAAAATATAAAGAAGTAAGTGTTTCCGAGGGAAGGAAAAGAGCGAATGTGGGTATCCTTGGGCAAACACGCCAAGGATAGTTGATGCTTGCTTCGCTTGCGGGATCACCGTAATCCACAGTACAGTTTTCATCGAAATATTTGCTTGCCCTCGTGGAACAGCCGCATTCATCCAGTCAGATGCGTTGACTGCCTCCTGTTCAAGGCTTCATACTGCCGCACATCAGCCATGGTATCACCACTATGGCTTTCCCGTGGCACTGATAACGATGGTGGAATCATTTCTGGGCAAGGCACTCGTCTTTGCACCTTCTCTCCCCCCCCC